TGTTATCAACATATATTTGGTTTTACAGAAAATTCGTCTTGATAAAACTTTTCAAGAGTTAGCAGATGATTTTGATATGTCAGAGAGTAATGCAAGCAGAATGTTTGCTAAAACAGTTGGCCTAATTAGCAATACAATAAAAGGCTTAATACAGTGGTTCCCTGTCGAGAAGGTAAAAAAATATTTGCCTGTGCCTTTCCGGGCAAGATATTGCAATGTCTATGCAATCATTGATTGTTTAGAAATTGAAATTCAAAAGCCTGAAGATCCTGTGAAACAAGCTCTAACGTGGTCTGAATATAAAAAAGCCAACACAATAAAATACTTGATTTCCTCAACCCCAGATGGATTGATAAATTTTATTTCAAATGGTTTCGGTGGACGGACGTCAGATGCTCTTATTGTGGAAATTTCCCTTGTGCATATTCAACTGGAAATTTACCTCGTAATTTTCAAAAATTGATAAGTGGAAATATCCCTGGTGAGCGGGAAATCTGTCAAAGTGTATATTTTTTGACAAACGCAATTTAAATAGGAAAGATCAATAACAATCACCATCACAGAACACATCACCATAATTAAAATATTCGACACATCTTATAGTAGATAAACTTCAAACTCGGGAAATTTCCTATCAAAATATAACACGTGCATAAAATATTTCCTAAGGGAAATTTTTGAAAATTTCGTCTTTAGTCAATTTTTTTTTAACAAAACCATTCGTGCATGGCGCCAAAGAAAAAATCCCTCACCCTTCGGGTTCGGGATTTTTTCAGGCGCTATGCACTCATGATTTTGTTAAAAAAATTGGCTTCAGACAAAATTTTCAAAAATTTCCGGAAATATTTTATGCACTAGTTATATTACTACTGGAAAAAAGTGGATTCTTAGAAAAACTTGAGCCGAATATGCACATTATGGCTGATAGGGGTTTCAAACATATAGACAACATGCTTGCAGAAAGAAACTGCAAATTAGTAAGACCTCCAAGTGTGGCGACTGGATCAAAATTAAGTAAAGAAGAAGCTCTACAAACAAAAAAAATCGCAAGCCTAAGAATTCACATTGAAAGAGTGATAAGGCGATTAAGAGAATTCAAAATATTAAGGCCTCATGCTTGTATTCATATTAAGTTGATATCTCAGTAAGACTATATTATTAATATTGCTTGTGCTTTAGTGAATACACAGGGGCCATTGATAAGTTAAAAACAAGAGAAGTATGGTTATATTATATAGAAATGGAGTTTTGTAAATGTATTGTACTTTCCTATGTATATAATTTACCATCGTCACCAAAAGTAACTGGGACAGCATCACATTAGCTCTTGTCCTATTATATGAATTTTATTGTCAAATATTTGTCAAACTATAATTTAAATGCATTGGAATGAATGACAGTAGAATTAGTCCAGGAGATTATTATGCATTATTGGTGTCCTAGATACTTTTGGTGACGATGGTATATATGTGATGTAATCTAGTGACTTAATTTAACTGTAACTCTACTTATTTAACGCTTTCGGTTAACTTATGTAGGTAATTTACTATTATGTAATGACATATTAGGTCTGGTGATGTATAGTTTATTTTTACATTTCGAACAGATGAATAAAGTACGTTGTCTTGCATCTTTTTTTGGGTCTTCTATGTTCTCAATCTTTTCTTATTTCACTCTATTCGGGTGCACTGGCGGCTCGTCAGAGGAGGCAGGGGAGGCTAAGCCTCCCCCAAAAAAATTAAAATTCAATCTCAATTTTTTATCCCTAATTCCTGAATAAAATAATAATTCACAAATTACACTTTCCAAATTTTGATATTTTAATGTAATTAAGAACGATCTGACAACTTTATTTCAAACAATTCCGCGCCTCCACGACAAAAATTTGTGAATCTACTGTCCCTTTCCTACAATTATTAAGAATAGAAATCGACCGGAGGCTAGACTCTCACAAGTCTCACATGCTTCACTGAAATCTAGCATTCAAATGGCCCGCGAATCTCAGCGTCCAATAGAAATGCCGGAAGCATATCGAACCACTACTGGCGTTCAACGACCATCGTCTCGAGAGGCGGCTAGCCGCACGGTTGAAAACAACTGCAATATCCTTGCTTTTTTTATCTCTGCTTTAAGTTTAAGCAATAGTGTTCCAGGTCACTTTTCTAGTTGGACGTCGTAGATTTATAGTTGATTGAATTTTTTTTGCATTAGGTAGGTGCATTGTAAATTATTGTACAATTTTGCATCTTGTTGCGGAAAGTACATAATTATTCATGATTATCAATTTGTGTCTTCCTTGTAATTTTTTATTTTTTATTTAGCTCTGAAAATACACTGCTCAACAATTGAAGTGGATATTTTAAAATTTTGTATTTATTTTGTCGATACTTCAAAGAAAAGTAAAAAATCATGTAAAATAAAAACATTTTATTGATTGATTATATCACCCCAGAAAAAAAAAACAATTTTTAATGCAAAATTTAACATTTAAAAGAAAACTGTTTAAATTGGGAGGAGTAACAACACAAAAAAAATCTTGTATCGCAAAATTCACAAAATCCCTATAAAAAATTAATATCGTGTTGGACCTCCTCTGGCCCGCCTTAGTACTGTCACTCTATTCGGAAGGCTCATTATCAAATTATTGATGAATTGCTGAGGTATGATTTGCCAAATTGCCTGCAACTCATTAGCCAACTGTTCTAGGGTTTGGGGAGGTTGTGGAATCCGGTTTAATCGCCTAGACATTTCGGCCCAAACATGTTCGATACAATTCATATCTGGTGAACAGGGTGGCCACTCCATTCTTGTGATTCCATGATGTTCTATGCGATCGTTCACAATTCTCGCACGATGCGGACGGGCATTATCATCAATTAATACAAATTGTTCACCTATTGCACCAAAAAATGGGACGACTATCGGCTCTATAACCATGTCTCGATATCGTATGGCAGTCATTGTCTCATTAATTAAGATCACTAAATCAGTGCGACCATTATGACATATGCCTCCCCAAACGCAAACTGACCCACCACCAAAAAGAGTTGTCGGGGCCATTAAATGTTCACTGTATCGCTGTCCTCTTTCTCGCCAAACCAATATTCGACCATCACACGTATACAAACGGAATCTAGACTCGTCGGTAAAGAGGCAGTGCCTCCAATTTTCAACAGTCCAAAGACTATGGTCTCTCGCCCAGCGATATCGGCATGCACGCTGCTCCGCCGTCATTCTTGGGTGGGTAGCGCGACGTCTAGCCCTCAAGTTACATGCATGCAATCTTCTTCTGATAGTTTGACCAGAAATCACTCTTCCAGTAGCTTGTCTGAAAAAGCTGTTAATTCTTGAAGCCGTGAATGTTCGGTTTCTTCTTGCAGTCAGGACTATGAAGCGGTCTTGAGCAAGAGTTGTAGCTCGTTCCCGTCCTCCACCATGTGTGTACGCTGCAGACCCAGTTGCTAAATACCGATTCCACGCACGACTCACGACACTTTGAGACACATTCAGCCGCACGGCGACTTCTTCTTGAGACAAACCTTCCTGTATCCAACGCAATAATTGCTCGAGTTGCACTGCTTCTAATCGTCGTAACGGCATTATTCTTTAAGCAAATACGCAAAACTATTGATAACAGTAGCAAAATCAAGTGTGTACAAGCGGTTCTGTAGAACTGATACTTTCAAATTTTAAAACAATATTCCTGCATATTTCCGTGAAAGAGATAAGGGAGAGAGAGCATCGACAAAAAACAATAAACATGCAAAAAATTTTCGCCATAAATACTATTTATTGATAAAATAAAACACGTCTTTTTTTTCATATTCTCAAATGTAGATTTCAGGATTTTTGCAATTATCCAGTTCAATTGTTGAGCAGTGTATATACTTATATGAAGAAAAAGAACATTTTCTTAAATACCTATTCATGGTTTTTATTGAATTTGAGATAAGGGCGTGGGCATCCCAAAACAAATTTTGCCTGCTGCGCAGTGGTTACCTTTCCGTTTTTCATGTTTTTTCAGCCTCCTCACTTGAAATAGTCACGAGCCGCCACTGTTCGGGTGTCCACCTAGTGTGATATCAGCCGATATCTTCTCACAGGGTGATGCAAGAAAAAAAAAATTAAATTACATAGTTATTTAATACTCTAATATGCATTGGTTGGAAATATTTTTGAATATACAGGGTGCTCCGTTCATGGGGTATGCGACAGAACTTTGTTTTTTTAATTGAAACACCCTGTATGTGATTGTATATTTGGATTCTACGTAAAATTCTGAGCAGATTTCATGTGATATACCCTATACCTAAGTTCAACTGTTTTGGAAATATTGACAGTTGAAAATTGACTTTTTGCAACTTTGATAGGCTGTAAAACCTAAACGGTTAATTTTACACCATTTGACACCAACTTTGAATTTAATCCATGATTAAAAATTCCAGTTAAATTCAAAGTTGGTGACAAATGATAGTTAATGAAAATCTAAGACAGTAATGTAAAATACCCCATAACTGTAGCACCCTGTATGTTCAAAAATATTTTTAACTAATGTGTTATTAGAGTATCAAACAACTTTGTAATTTAAATTTTTTTTCTCGCAGCGACCTGTAAGGAGATATCGTTGGATATCGCACCCAGTGGACACCCTGTATATACAACATTTACTTTTATTAATCGAAAAACACAGTCATAACATTAGTTGTACAGACAGAAAGCTAAGAACTACAGACAAGTTCTTTGAAACTTTGTGGATCTTAATTTTTCTTATTTTTCACACCAACTGTAATTAATTATGAAAGGGTAGGAAAAAATGTACTCGAAATTCTTTATACGTTTATACTCTAGCTTAAATTATTTATTGTTCAACATTGTTCCATATTTTACATGTATAAATGAATATTATAATTAAATAAAATGAAAACATATGTTATAAGTATCTACCTTATATTATAACCTGAATAAAAAATCAATGATATTCCAATTTGACTTAATAATTTTTACATATTTTTCTTAACTATATCATAAATATTTGTTTTCCAAAATTCCAGAGACTTTTCTATAATGGGATTCAAAAAGTCTTCATTGTAACTAACATGAATTAGGGTAACTTCTTTATTTTTTTCGAATAAAGGATCAGCAACACAAAATACCCCACATTTTTTCTCCATCAAAAGCATTTGTAGCTGTATCTGCGCCAAATACTTATTATTTATGACACCATTTAAAACATAGTTGGAAACAGTTTTTTCTGAGGTAGGACATTTTATCTCAACAACAATATCATCATTATAAGCATCAGGTGATGCTCCAAGAATGGAAAAGTCTTTTGACAGCATGACACCTCCACGGAAAAGATTTGTATTCAGTTTTTTTTCGACTACTCGTAGAACACTTGCTTCTAAATCTCTTCCTCTTTTCATTGCAGGAGTGTCATATTTTTTAGAAGCACCAATAATGTTTTCTACTAAACTTCCTTCCACTGTTTTACACCTTGAAACTTCATATATTTTAGAAGCTGTTATTCGGCAATACCGCAAGTCACGCCATATACTACATTCACTCTGTTCCTTTGTTTTGCTAAAAGCTTCATTACATAAAGCTGTGGACATTTTGGAAGCTGCATACATTATAAATTCATCTGTCATTTGTTTTCCATCATTTTGAAATGAACATAAAAGCTGGTGAATTCCCAAATTCAAAAGTTTATCTTCATTATAATATTTTAGTAGCTGGCTAGAGGCTCCACATTCAATGGCTCTTCCAATGAACTGCTCCAGAAAATGTTTATTTGTTGAATTCACTATCTCCTCTCTTGCATCTTTCGCAAAGTCTTGAACCTTCACAAATTGCAATAATGTACCTACACCCGACAGCTTTGGTTTTTTCCAGTAGGATATAATTTCGGTTGGACTTGGTTCTTCACTTCTTCGATGAACCCACATTACAAATGCTATCGCATGTTTACACCCACCTAAAAAAATATCAGGTATATATATTTGTGATTGTATAGATACAGTAATCAGTAATCGCAAAACAGTTTCAATTGTATGTACATCATCAATGAGTTTGTTTCACACTAATTATTAAAAAAAACGAGTCTACCTTCTGAAGCTGCACAATCCTGACATTGCGCTTTTAAAATCGACTCCTCAGCTTCATTTACCTCCATAATAACTGTGTAATTTTTAGCTCGGACTCTATGTTCAGGGCATATCTTACACTTTACTAAACAAATGTTATTTTCCCGTTTTAATTCTACATATCCAACTGCAGAATCTCCATAACTCTCTCTTTCAGACCTGAAATAACACAAAAAATAGAAAAAATAACTTTTGAGTATTTTGGTAACATAACCTAATTTACCTAATAATAATAATATCTATTTAGTATGTTTCCACAGTATGATTATTGAAGGTTTAAATAAAATTGATGCTAGAACTTTAATAAAATCTGTATTTATCAAATTTTACTAACCTTTTCGCTTTAACTCCGCGTTGCTCAGCAGACGTAAACAATTCGTTTTTGGAGAAAAACTCGGCTATCATCAACGAGTCGACCAAAGGTAAATTATCAGACTGTGCTTTTATAAATCCTTCAGTCATATTGGAAATATATTAAAAAATCACTTCGCCACACGATCACACAAAGGAACGACTCAAATTCAAATCACAGAGATTGTAGATTCCAACACAAAGCAATATAAAACGTATGGCGGCTAAGGCCAGTCGTCTCGGTTCATACCTCGTGACGTCACAATCAATGGCGTAGCTTTTTCCTATGACGTCAAATTAGAAAAGCGCGGGCGAAGTTTGTTAATTAATAAATTGGGTAATTAGAAGTTTTTTTTTGAAAAAAAATATTATGGAGGATTATTTATTATGTTTAAGAAGGTATTTAAGAAGTTTTCAGATAAAAATTAAAATATGTGCAAGAGGCCTATTGTTGTTATTTGGTGGAACTTATAAGTATAAGAGTGCCCAACATTAATTTAAGATTAAGAATGCTGGGAGATTTTTGTATTAATCCCCTTAGTTGTTCTCCCTTTGCTTTTATGCTAAAAGCGTGTAATATCCTTTCACTTCAGCATACCTAGTTTGGATATCTTTAATCATGATGTGTCACTTTTTAAAAGGAAATTAAATAATATTGGATGTAGCTTGTACAATCCGTAAATAGGTATAACTTATTTTGTTTTATATTTTGTTCCCATGCCTAGTTGTCAATTTGTGTTTCTATTTAGTATTAGGCTTTCCTTACATGTAATAACCTTAGGGTGTTTGTAAGATGTTGAATAAATAAATAAATAAATAAATAAACAAATCCATAGATAAAACGCGAGGCAATGAGTCATATAACATACACAGGCAAAATGGTTTTTTAATTCAATAGAATTTTTCTGTATTACATTCCCAATTCTGCATAATAATAAGTGTAAGTTACACATGTCGGCAATATTGTAAACACAGGGCCGTATCTAGACCAAAATTTTGGAGGGGGTTAGACAAAATGAAAAAAAAACATTGTTACACTAGTAATAAAAATTAAAAAATTAAATAAGTATTTAATAAGTGTTGTTTGTTTTTAAGTCAAATTTTTTGAATTTTATTATTTTTTGGGGGGGGGGGGGTTTGAACCCCCAAAACCCCCCCCTAGATACGGCCCTGTGTAAACATCAAGAAAGCTTAGAAGAAATGTTATAAATTATAAACTAGTGAAAAGTACATCAAGAGTGGAAGAAAATGTGTTCAAGATTGACAATGAAAAAAAAGATATCGAGAAAACATTTGTGAGCTTTGCTATAACTAAGCTAGTCGCTTTTTTAAAAATTTACACTGTTCAATTTAATGTCACTTTGCCCAACACCCAACAGAAAATAAAATAACTTTGGTAACAATCTTAGATTGTAGCAATGTATGTTGAATATGTTTTATACCTACCCGCCTTGCCCCTCTCTAGATATACGCTGATACGCACCTAAACAAGAAGAGACCACCCATGACACCAATTGGTTGTTAGATTTAAGGTAAACTCCCGAGCCAGGGCTCAATTTAAAACAATCCAAGAACTTTTGTTCCGATTCTGGATAGCGAAATTTCCATTTTTCATTGATAATGCTGAAGTCTTGTGGCTGTAATTGTTTAACATATACATCCTGGTTATCCGAAGGAATTTTTGGTGCTTTTTCCTTTTCCAAAACCCACAGACTCAAAGTTTCATCGAAAATCTTGTCTTCTTGTAATTTGTGTTTTTGCTGTGCCAGCAGCTGCCTGATTTTTGGGTAAAAATTCTCGTGCACCGCATAGAAAAGGGTGAAATTTCTAGCAGGATCTTGAAGATATTTGAATCTATTGGTTTTTGTGAGGGCTTCCATTAAGTTTTTTCCAGTTGGGTCTAAACTGTGCAGGACTATGTCGTGGCCGTGATTCTACAAGAATTTTAATGAATCCAGTGGGTTTTAAGTTAAGTGGGTACCTACTCACCGGCATTGAAGCGATAAAAGTGCCATCCACTTGCCAAGAATCATCGTCAAGCGTATAAAACCTCACAAAATCCGTCATACCTATTTTTTTAGCCTTCAGACAGTTGCAAAAAAAACTGTACAAATGGGGCAATTCTGTCTTGTGGTTTTCGTAGATTTTGGCTAGTTTTTCCATATCTGCATCGGACAGTTCTACCAAAATATCTTTCATTTTGCCAACTTAAATATTGTATTTATTTTATAGGACTTGTATCAGGCCAATGAACGATTCTTTATTGACAATGGGAACAGAAACTTACCTCATTACGATGAATTGGTTTATTTAAACGTTCCACTTTTATCTTATCATTGCAAAAAATAATGTAAACAAGTGCAACTATAAATGCATCTTTAACTACTTATACGAATTCAATGATTGCGGGTTAAAGTGAAGGCCATCAGGCCACGAGTGTTGCTATTAGTCCAGCATCATTAGAAGTAATAAGGTACCTATGCTCAGGAACCCTTTGATAAATAAGTTTTTTTTTTCAACTCCTAACTTATATTTATTTATCTATTATTGTTTTGAAGTAAAAAAAACATACTTTAAGGAAAAAATTACATTATTTTTGACGACATTTTAGTAAATTCGACCAGACTAATCATAGTCCAGGCAATAGGTTTTTTTTTTGCGAGAAAAAAATAGTATAGTTTTTAAATTTTGACATTTTGTTCAGATGGACATAGTGAGTCGGAATCTCATTTTGCAGCAGTTTAGGGGGTGGGCTCGCTAATTGGGGGCGGTTTTTTGAAAACATGGCAGGGAGCGCGGACCGTTATCGACATGTTCAACATGGGGTCGACCGCTCGCTATAAAACGGCTTCCACAAAAATAACCATGCATAAATTAACAAAAACAAAAATAGATTTAAATGCAGCAAACTATGAGCTATAAAATGGAGAAAAAAAAAATTGATCTGAGCCTAAGGTCCGGTTGTATAAACACAGGTTAAGACTTAATCTCAGTTTATTTGTTGGTGTATGTTGTACCACCCACATAGCAATTGTACATGCTTAGCACATGTACAGAATATTCCAGACAAGGAAAAGTATATGCTAGATATGTTCCAAAAAAGCATTGCGCACATTCGCAGTAAATCCTGAGTATATGTTACAGACCCACCGTAACAGATGTTAGGTATGTGCTTATAATATCCTCAAGTATGTCCTAGTCACAAGCTCAGCATGTACTGAACACATATCCACAGAATATGCTCCAAATGTACCTACTATATTCTTCAGGAATGTACATATCATGGGTTATTTATATTCATGACATATGCCTTGGCACATCTATAGTGTATAAATAGCATATGACATGAATTCCAGAAATATGCGATAATAGTGTCTGTTTCAAAATTAAATAGAACAGGTAAAAAGTTAGTGTGAACGCTTTTTGCGAGGACCCTGTAGTATTTGCAATTGATCTGACCAAGCGTACAGTTAGCTAGGAATCCTATCCAAATGTGCAATTAGTTACAACGATCGTAAATACCAGAGTGTGTTCGCAAAAAGCATTTCACATGTTACCTGCTGTTCTATCTAATTTTGGGACAGACATCAGATTAAGCTGACCTACCTTTCTTCTTTTGCTGGGACACCTTTTGTCCTAGCGAAAAAACTGTCTTTTCACACTCAGGAACAAATAATTATAATTGGAAATTAGGCTAAAAAAATAAAATGTTAACAAACTCATATGAACATATATTTAAATAAGCTTTTCAATATTACAAAAAATATGAAGTGTGTAAATAATGTATGGAATGAATAAAATTTGCAACAGCTTCAGCACACTTGAATGTGAAATTCTTTCTTCCACAGCCCAAGAGCTTGAATGGGAAACAAACCTGGGAGAAGGAGTGTCAATGTTTGGGAAAACCACAATTTAGACTGGAATTTGTGGCTGCCGATCAACATTACTAGCGGAAGAGGTTCTCTCACTGCTGGAATAGGCAGCCATAAGTGTCTCAACCCTAAGATTTTCCTGAATTATTTTTAATTAGTATAATTATAAACCTAATTTACATTCTCACATATGAGGTAAACAATATCGAAATAAAATATTAACAACTACCTATACTTACCTTATCTTCCAGTTTTTTCTGTGAAAGAAAATGGAAAAAATAAAGAAATCACTGAAAACATACACAAAAACAAAGGCCACAACTGCCACAAAAGATCTTTTGACTTTTGTGAACAAGATAAAACACACGAAGCCGCGAGCACGCACGTACTGAGAATCGAGATAACCCAGAATCAAAAAAGAAACTAGAAAGAATGGAAATCTTAAATTGAGAAAATTACAATAATTAAAATGAAAATGTTTGATGTGAAGTGAAGTCTAGAGCCTGTATAGGTTAGGTTGGCAACTGAGAAGAAAAAAGCGCGAGCGCAGCGTGACAGTTGACAGCGATTTTATACTGGAACGTAGCCTATGTTCCAATATCCGCGAATGGTATTTTATTATGAGATTAAAATATATCTGAGTCTAGCGAGGAGGCATTTCTTATTAAATTAAAAATCGAGGATTTCTCATCATTCAATAAATTTTATAAGCGCTGTTTGCACCTGCGCGAATTGACGCGGTAGGTGTTTCAGAGAGAATACACTTTTAGAATATTCTTAACACATGTTACGAATGTACTCGAGGGAATATCTGTACTTTTGAAATTCATATTAATATGATTGTAGATTGTAGATTTCGGGGGAGTCGTTTCGGCTTTTCAGCCGCTCAGCACTGCTACCTTTGCAGATATTTTGTGCGTGACTCTACATCTTAATTTGTCTCCAGGAAGCGTAGACTTCTGCCGAAGGAAGCTATTTTCCTGGGTGTCAGTTGGCCCACTTCTTCTGGTGACAGTGTTGCCCCCTCGAGGAATTTGAGCCTCTTGCAGAAGTGGGCTGGACATTCGCAGAGCAGGTGCTCTGCGGTTTCTATTGCGTCTGAGCAGAATCTGCAGAGATCGTCTTCTGCTCTGTCCATTAACCTTAAATGGTATTTTACTGGGCAGTGTCCTGTGAGCAGTCCCACCACCAATCTGATGTCTGGTCTGCTCATGCTTAGGAGCTGTTCAGCTCTTTTTG